CAGACAGATAGACAGATAGATATATAGATAGGTAGATAGATAGATAGATAGATAGATAGATAGATAGATAGAAGGAGACAGACAGACATTCTTTATATAAATGTAGGTGTTCAATAACTTTATCCTGAGCTAAGAGAGATTGAACGTCCCACCAAGGGAGACCGAAGAAATATTCAAGAAAAATCCTTCCCACATGGGAATCAAACTCAGGTCTTCTGTATGCCACGGCGAAGTACCTAACCACTACACCACAGACGCCAGTCAAATGGTGGTGACAAGCAGTAAAACAAAAACAAGTTTTTAGTTTGAGTAAGTGTTTTACGGCACTTGCAACACAATAACGTCATAGAAGTGTGGAAGATTAGAGGTGTTACAAGAGAGTAACAAACACAAAAAAGAAGGAGGAGAGATCAGGACGATAGATGTTTGATAGGAAAGAGGAAGCAAACCACACCAGAGCACCCGCCAATCACAAACAAAATAACAAGGAAGGTATCATGATAATGTATCAAGCATTTTATTATCAGGTCTGCAGAATGAAATAGCTAGGTTTTTGATAGTTAAAAAATAATGTCATGATAATATAATATAGTGATGAAAATCATACACCCTAAGCAGTTAAAAGGTAGAAAAAACCCCATTTTGCATATACGTATGTAGAGAATGTAGGTAGGTATATATTCACTTGTGGTCGGTCACTCATCACTACTTATTATTTCAAAACCATTGTGAACAACAAACAACAGTGAAATTCCATCAAATGGTTACATTTGACATAAAAAAACAAACATCCATTCCAACACCAACAAATATTTAGTGAGGGGATAGAGTTCAAAAGAAACACATTGATAACACTGTTACCAAATCAATCATTTTTTAAATACAAACTTGTACAATTTTCACGAAATTTTTCGGATCAACAACAAAAAGAACAATTCTTTCCAAATATGTGCAATTGTGCATGTCAATTTCAATTTGGTTTTTAAAAAAATATAGAAGACATACATTAAAAATTGGACTGAACTGACACAAAATTTTCCCGCAAGAAAATATGTTCTAAAACGTTTAGCAGTGAACTCGATTTGAATATTCTTTAAACAATTCTAGCACCAAAAGATTTAAAATATTTAGAATTAGACGGTTGGTAAATTTCATTTGAATATTCTCTAAACAATTCTAGCAACAAAAGACTGAAAATATTTAGATGGTTGATAAATTTGATCTGAACATTCTCTAAACAATTTCATCTGTAACATCTTTCTCTATGTATAAAACCTTTGGTCATTTTTGTGCAGTGCCATTTTAACAAAAGAATAACAATGATGTAGGAGTCAGGTTTGTGCCACATTGCCAGTCAGGGCCAACGCAGGCTGTGTGGGAAACACTATCCAAGCAGATAGATGGAGATACTTGATAAAGAACCTTCCCTAATGAGGGATCAAACTCGTGTCTTCTGCGGACAACAGTGCAGTCTTCGACACTGCTTTTTAAGAGATATATGAAAGTTTTGATGCTTAACCCTATCTGTAAGCCTGGGGTCATTTTTGTATCCCCAGAGGTTGTATTCTTCACAATTTAGAATACTCCTAGTGCGAAGATCTCTTTGAAACTTTCCGTATTTCTCGAAAAATCATTTTGACCGACTGCTATGCAAAGCGTACGGATCGGATTAACGAGTAAATTTTCTCTTTGGAAAGTGGGGCACAGAGTTCCCCACGTCGTATGGATACAATAGTAAAACATGACGTACGTATAGGGCTAAAAAACAGAAGTGCTAAATACAGGCAGGCAAATCTGGGCAACACTAGTGAAAACAAGAGACAAACAAATCAGAAGCATCAGTTCATACCACACACTTGTATGAGTTTAGTTTGAGTAAAGAGTTTTACAGCACTTGCAACACAATAAGGTCATATAAGTGCCGAAGAATAGATTACGTGTTACAAGAGAGTAACATACACATAAAAGAAGGAGGGGAGATATGATAAGGACGACAGATGTTAGATAGGAAAGAAGGAGCAAACCACACCAGAGCACCCGCCAACAACCCACACACTTGTATGAAACACGCCTACTAATATGTACATATATAAAGAGTGAAAATCCCATGAAGAAAAAATCAGTGGTTATTATACATTCTATCACTATCACCTACAGTGTGACGTCACTAAATTCAGCGGCCAGTGTGGCAGACTGACATTGAGTGTCTGTCACGATGATGTCACAGGCGGCAGTGGAGAGATAGGGGCCCAATGTGAGAACTGACCCTGGCAGCAGCTACTAGAGGTAGAGTTTAGTTTTGGTAAGAGTTTTATGGCACTTACAACACAATAAGGTCATATGAGTGCTGAAGATTAGAGGTGTTACAAGAGAGTAACAAACAAAAAAAAAGAAGGAGGGGAGGTAAAGACGATAGATGTTTGATAGGAAAGAAGAAGAAAACCACACCCGAGCACCCGCCAACCACCCACACTAGAGGTAGAATAAATAGAATGTGAAACAAATTGATAATAATAAGAGATAGCATTTGTATAGCACAAATTTTCCCTCAACAGCAAGCTCTATGCGCTTTACAATCTTCAATGCGTGCCCTAAAACTGTTGTGACTCACATACAGATTTGACACAGCGATTCAAATCAATTCTATATCAATCCAAAGAGAGTTCTAGGGAAGTCGACAGACACAGATAGACAGAACAAATACACAGTAGTCAGGCTCTACAAACAAACAAACAAAACAAAAAACTACAGCATGCAACTGTCTGGTTCAGGATCACATCAACTTTGTTAAAAATCCTAATATCTGTTCAAAAACATTGAAAAGAAGCAAACAGAGGAATTGGAACAAATGCACCCAGAAGTCTCCAGTCTCTCTGAGATAAACAATGACAAGAGAGCCATAAATGCAGAAGTATCTCTCACAAAGCACCAAGTCGGACTCAGTCTTTGGTTAAGTGCAGATTTCTCTCTATAGTACATGTATTTCTTTGATTCAAATGCCTTTGGGATGTTAAAATTAGAAAAATGATATATACTTTACTTTCAAAATAAGTATGCAATGAAAACTATTCAATTAACATTTATTTAAACTATGTTTGAACCTTTAGTGAGTATATTCTATGAGAGGAAAAAGAACACGCAGGAAAGTTTACACAGAACACACCAGAAAAGTTAGCACGCAAAATACAAGAAAGACAGAGTAGAACACACTGGGAAAAGTCAATGTACAACACACTAAAAAAGTCAACACGCAACACGTTAGGAAAGTCAATGTGGCACACACAAACAAAGTCGGCACAGAACACACAGAGCTTATCAGCACGGAACACACTAAGCTTATCTGCGCTGAACACATTCAGAAAGTCATTACAGAACCCACAAGGAAAGTCAGCACTGAACAGACTGTGAAAGTACAAAGAAAAGTATATACCGAAGACAATGTTCCGAGAAATCTAAGAGGCAGCGGGCACGTGGAGGAAGATATTCGTTTTATTTCATAGCAGCCTCATCATCTTCGTCAGTCACATTTTGAGGAACAAATAAATAACAAAAACAAGCTTACAGCTACATAAACTTGGCATTTCTATAGACCCCACTTGACAAAAGGCAATCATAAATATAACCCTATAACATACATTCTGTGTAAAAAAACCAAAATCAGCAGCACAGAAATTCCAGCACCTAAAACGTTATGACAACAACAAAAAAATTAAGCTGCATTTAATAAAAAAACAAAACATTTACTGTAACAAAACGTAACAATGGTCGCAATAATATGTGTCACGACGCGGTGGAATCAGGCGCTCGCCAATTTTGGGACATATGGAGTTATTGTTATCATCTTAAAGCCTGTCCATTTGGTTTGCTTTTAATGAAAAATTTGTCCATTTATATTGAATACAAGTCAAGATATTTGGCGATTGAAGGTTTGGGTCGATGGTTTCAGAGGTAAAATTAGCGAGAAAATGGCTTCCAAAGTTGAGTTATTTCCTTAGCTTGAGAGTCCACGGAAACTGAAAATTTATATCTTTTCTGCCTTTAATCAACATTTTTCGGTAAAATCCATACAAAAATGTCTTCTTTAATGGGCATGAAAGGTGTTGAGCCAAAAAACAAAAATTCAATAAAAATTCCCAAACCTGCGGAAAAATTCCAATTTCTTGACTTTTATTATTTTGACGAGCGCCTGATTTCACCACGCTGTCTCACATATATGTAGTTTGTACTCAGAATGCCCCATCAACGAACACGTCTACTTGACGATATGAGAGTCTGGACATTGAAGAGAAGTCATCAGAGGACTTGGTACAACATTTAAACTGTCGCTCTCTAAAAGCATTGAAATAATGAAGTAGGCACAGTCATCCAATCTTCCTCTCATCATACAGAATGTAATATTGGGTACAAATAGCTGTCCTATTTATCTAGTCATTGCTCAGTCTCACATGGCAAAAATATTTCACCTGAAAGAAAAGAATAAACTTGTGCTTTTTATTTCCACTTCACAGTTATTTCACTTTGACAAAAGCAGCATATGAATCTATGATTGGCTTCATAAGCAAAGCCTATAGCATCAAGTTCCACAATTGAAAATATGGGTAAAACCCCACAAAAAATTTGATAATTTTGTTAAGAAACATTTTTCCAAACAATACAAACTGAACAATACCTAGACAAGCAGAGCCATGATTAATATCTAACTATAAATAATACTTCTAAATTTATGTTACCCATACCTCTGTAGCCATACATCAATAATTAGGTTGGTACATAGCGGTACTGTATACTCTATATATTGTGAATAAGTGATGGTTAATCAAGGGCTTGAAAACAGAGATGACAGTTCAACAAGTACGACAATGTCATATTAGTTTGAAAGCACTCTTTACTAAATTAAGAGAATTGCAGCGTTTAATATCTATGCTACAGAGATTTTTACCATAATTTCGTAATTTCAACTTTACCGTGACCATTTCATGAATCACTGCTGGAGCCTGGAAGACTCAACATGAAGCATGAACTTGTATGAAGGAAATTGTTTCAAGTCTTTTAAAACTAATATATATACCTGTGCTGCTAATTTTTCTTCTTTTCCACTCTAAATTACAACTTTCAAATCTATGACTTACATTTTCTTGTTTCCCATTATCGGACATTCATCAACATCGGGCCACACAGTGCAGTCGTGCATTCTTATCGCACTTTTGATTAAAACACTGAGATTTTGAAAGAAAGGGGATAGATAAGAAATCCCCTCCTACTTCAATCGAAGATTCTCTCGATAACCTGCACGAGTATGAGATTCTTGCAGCTTGTTTCACGTCTGAAGGAGCATAAATGACAGCTTGAACTAGGCGATAACTATAACACTCTATTGAAATCTCACTGAATGAGCCTTCAGGTTATTCTAAGGCACTGCAAAATAGAAGCAGATTTCAAGTTAACTGATAATGGGTACGAGGAATCTTGCTTTCTAATAATTATAACTACGGTATTATGTGGAAGGCGACAGTTAGGTGCAGTTGTCAATTCTGTTGGAAGGACGTGTCAGGTGATGCTTTCTTTCTTCCTCAGTGCCACTGTCGCAGAGAGCTGTCGTCTTTGAAAAGACCGCTCCACTTGCTTCACATCTCTACAGGACCGACTCTGACGTCTGCTTCAACTTCATCGCAGTTCGAACGAGCTGAGGAAGAAGCGACAAACATCTGTGTAAGGGACTGGATTCAAGTAAGGATTAACAAGTAATTTATAAATATACTTTCATCAGTGCATCTTTTTAGACATCATTTATATCCGTCTTATTGCGGAAAGATTACTATCAAGAGCAGAGCATACAATGTGTCTTCCTCAACATTAACCCATGTTAAACTTTCTTACACTCAAAAACAATTTTAAACAATAAACAACCTGTTGCATAATTTTTAGAACTCCTGAAGAAAAAAAGGGCAAAAATAATCAAAACATAATTCAGTAAACCTGTTAGGCTACTCATAATTTCAGGTATTGATTTGAATTGAGCAGCCATATCAATACCCCAGCAAACTATCTCATAACCAAATCCTAAAAATAATTTTTTGCAAACAATTACATTGTAATTTATAAGCTATTTTGAATCAGATTCTTGCTCTTTTGCTGAGCCGAGTGCCCATTCCAAATGAAACCATTTAGGTCTAAGGTTGTGACACTTATATAAGAATGTTTTTTTTTTTTTTAAGTTTTAGTTTCAGTAAGAGTTTTAAGGCACTTGCATCACAATAAGGTCATATAAGTGCTGATGATTAGAGGTGTTACAAGAGAGTAACAAACATAAAAAAGAAGGAGCGATAAGGATGATAGATGTTAGGTAGGAAAGAAGAAGCAAACCACACCAGAGCACCTGCCAACCATCCACAAAAATGACTAGTGTTGTGTTCGTGCAGGATAAAGTGCTATGATAATGACCTACATTATTGTTATCATTATCATTCTAAAAATGTAAAAGGGAGGAAAGAAGAAAGAGAGGATCGAAGCATACAAGACTGTATCACACTAATGTGAGCACAAATGGTCGCTTTCAAGGACAAGCAGGCTAACCCAGATTTCGGGGGTTTTCAGAAATCTTGACCCACACCAAAAGGGGGCATTGCGCTACTTAAAGGAGAAGTTTGGTTTCATTGGTTATAGAGAAAACTCTCCTTGTCTTTTAAAGAAACTGAACAAGGGGCAAAAACTTTACCTTCGATTTTCTCACAACAGCATTTTTCAGGATAGCCCTCTTGTGCTGACATTTAAGGAGCTGTTGCACCTCCCATCTCATGCACTGGGCATGTTCATCACTCTCAACCCTCCCCCCCAGCCACTAAAAGAAAGTGCATTGTGTATTCAGTGTTGTTTTCTCAATTTTGAAAAAATTCTCCATGCATGTAAAATAATGATGTCATTTGGACATAAAAATGGCATTGAAAACCCTCAGTACACAAAGAATTTGAGAGTGGAGAGATAACACTTTGCTATCTTAGAATTAAAAAGTTCAATCTGAAATTTTAAGCTGTTTTGAGTTATAACTATAAAAATCGTAAGGTTATATAACTTATTTGGAGTCGATATCAATATATTTAAAAAATTGCATTCGAAAAAGCTTGACATGTTGAGAAACCAAAACTTTTTACATCAAATTTCTCAAAACTAGGCACTGAGCAGATGGAACTTTGCAATTTTAAGGTAACGACTTTCTTTCTCAACCTCAGAGCCTCACACTAAGCACACACCTAAGAAAACAACTAACTATCACAGATCTGTTTTGACACATACAACACAAAACACACCTACACAATCAACATTCACAAATACACAAGACTAGTAAGGGGAGACCACACCTAGCATAAACATTCTGTACTCCTATAAGATTGTTCATAGAACCCATCTTGTGATTAGCTTTCAGACACTGACCTTTGCATCAAATGCAACATTATGAAACCACATATACAAAACAAAAAAAATATAAGATGACAGACAATGAGAATCTTTACATATATATATATAGCCTAGATAATATGCAAGGAAATTACCAAAAAATAAAATAAAATACAGACTGTTATTAACATCAGAGTTCAATACCCAAGACAGCAGTCATTAACAGATTTATTTATATCATATTATAATGACGGTTAGCCAATTCAAGAGTACAAATTAAAAACCGATATCGACAATTCATACCTTTAGACAAATTCATCAAGCCCATATAATGAAACACTTTTAAGAGTTACATTTTAAAGTAGTCCCTTCAATCCCAGGAGTGCAAAGAGAAACAGAGACATTTTTTTTTCCATTGAGATCAAAAAGAGTTTAGAAACCTTTGTTACAACAAAATAGAACTTGATTGAATGAAATAATTCAGCTCTAAAATTACAGAAGGAAGCAATGGTATGAGAAAAAGAATCAGTGTTATTTCTATTATCATAATTATTATTATACTATTATTACTGTTATTATTATCATTGTTATGACGATGATGATGATGATTTTACAAAAAATATACACTGAATAAATTAGATATCACTGTCAATATGCTTAGATAACACATTTCAGGTGAAAGTACATGTATGAGCAAGCAACTGCAAGCTGATTAATTTTTGCAAGAAGACGGTGTGACCAAGACTGTTTGTTCATCGATTATCAGGAATGCTACTCTGCTGTCAAGAATGAAATAATAGGTACTAAAATGAAGGAGCAGCTATGCTAATGAAGTCATTGGGCACGTTAGGGGTGGGTTTGGAGGGGTGAGGAGGAGACAGTAACAGGTGAGCTTTAACCCTGTCCGTATGCCCTGGGGTCATTTTGTACCCCCGGGGTCGTATTCTTCACATTTTAGAATACTTCTAGTACGAAGATCTCTGAGAGACTTTCAGTATTTCTCAAAAAATCATTTTGACAGACTGCTAGGCAAAGCGTACAGATCGGATTAATGAGTAAATTTCCTCTTTAAAAAGTGGTGGCACAAGAGTTCCCCACGTCGTATGAATACGATAGTAAAACACAACGTACGGATAGGGTTAAATACTATATGGAAAGTCTTTTCAAGAGTTCAGCATGCCCTCCCTCCTTTATTCCCATGGTACCAAACATTTCCATTTCACATCCTGCTGCCATCTTTTTTAGTAAGAGTTTTACGGCACTTGCAACACAATAAGGTCATATAAGGGCTGAAGATCAAAAGTGTTACAAGAGAGAAACAAACACAAAAAAAGAAGAAGGGGAAATAAAGTCGATAGACGTTTGATAGGAAAGAAGAAGCAAACCATCTTTCTCCATCCAACTCCAATAACACCTTGAAATGCAAAGTAAGTAAATATTCTTGGATAAAAGAACACATGATAATAAAAATTTCAAAAGATACAACCAAAATAAACAAAAACAGATGGGGGGGGGGGGGCAGGTAGGCCGGCACAAAATTGGGGATAAGGACAGATGGTGCAGAGACCACAACAGCTGCAAGTGACCACAGTCAAATGTTTTAGTTTTAGTAAGAGTTTTACGGCACTTGCAACACAATAAGGTCATATAAGTGCCAAAGATTAGAGGTGTTAAAAGACAGTAACAAACATAAAAAAGGAGGGGAGATAAGGACGACAGATGTTTGATAGGAAAGAAGGAGCAAACCACACCAGAGCACCCGCTAACCACCCACTCAGTTAAATGTAAACCAGAGAGGACAAGGGAGATGGTGATGGCATCCGTTCGTAATATTCTGTACCCGAGATTCGAGATACTATATAAAATACAGTTCCAATTTCATTATTTCATAAGTGTGCACAGACCAGTCATCACCTACACAAATTATATGCAGATTCGACCATGTAGTTGAAAAAATAAAAGCTGCATTTACACAAAATGAAAGTCACTTCACCTCCATCTGTCATTTTAATAACTTTTTGGAGAACTCAAGAAGCACATGGATGGGTGATCTGGGTCAATTAGGAGCTACGGGATGGGGGAGGCAAAGGTTTCATTAAGTGGTGCAGAAATGAGTAAGGGGAGGGGAGGGGAGGGGGCACAAGAATAAAGGTTGGAGCAAGCAGGTAACTTCATAATATTGACTCCCATCATTTAAAATTGTTTTAAAATTCAGCAGCGAAGCGTGCAGATATAAAAGAGTGCAAAGATACATTGGTTTTGCCCAAACCTCAGTACTGGCAGCTAGGTTTTAAGTTAAAGACTGAAAAAGCAAAAGAGAAAGAGATAGAGAACAAAAAACCGACATGATTTGATCAAATCTCACAGTAGTAGAAAATGTCGTTGACATAAAAACATGTGTCTTGCTTCAGGAAACACTAAATAAAATTTTTCCCACACAAAGGTGCCTACTTATGTCTCAAGCAAAGTTCCACTTCCTTTAAAATTTTGTTGGCAAAAAAAAAAGCAATCACGTGCCTACTTATGTTTTAAGTATGTTCCACTTCCTTTAAAATGTTGTTGACAGAAGAAAAAGCAATCACACACGATCTACTTAAAGTTATAAACAGGTTACACAGTCAGAGCTAGGCACACATAGCATGTTTATTCAGAAACACATTAGGCCTACTTTGACAATTATACTTTAAAAAAAAAGAAATGAATTGACAGATGGACTTTATTATCAATGGTAGAGACAAACAAATAACACACAAAAATCAACAAAGAAACAAAAAGAAAAAAAAATTGCAGGACATAAGAACTATCCACTAAAAAGTAGCTTTAGCAAAGTCGAAAATTTCATCAATTTAAACTTTCACCAGCGATATATACATCTCAAGCGACAAACTTTTTAACTTTTTAATTTTAATTTTCAGCTTCTACAAATGCGCCGGTAGTGCAAAAATCTCAAAGCTAAAGGCAAAAGCGTTGAACACCCACTCAAAAGTAGAAACCAAAGAAACTTTCCTCAGCCCAAAAGCAAAATGGACAAACCAAAGTCCCTTTGATTTAAAAAATAAAAAAATAAAAAATTTTTTAAAGGCATCCACTGCTTGTGGTGGTCAATGGGACGTGGTTTAATAAAAAAAAAAAAAAAGCAACAAATCCCTTGTTTTGTTTTGTTCTTTTTTTACCTTGGGGTGGGGGAGCTGGAACTTTTTCTCTTTCTGTGAACACCCTATGGAGGAGGACAAGAAAACAGCAATGCATGCAACAGTGTCAGACATGGATGGTCCTGCTGAAAATTGGGAACTGTCTGTTGGTCAAGCAAGGTACACACAAAGACAAGCACAGTGTGCTGCACACCTTACGAAGACAGAGGAACAAACAAATAGGAACAGTCCACAGACAAATTGTTGAAGTGGAATCCATGTATCTCTCTCTCTCTCTCGTTACAGAAGCCACAAAATCTGCCTCCACTACCCCAAAAACCCCACTCGCCTCTCGTAAAAAGAAAAATACTTTTTCAAAATTAAGAAATATCTGTCTTGCATAGGAGGTTCAACATAATTATTCTGAATGCAATTTTGTCCTTTACGATACACTTCGGGGCTCATAGAAAAGAGCAGGGCTGGATAAAACGTAAAATTGCCCACTTTTCTTAACAACAAAATCATACAATACAAGCAATTTAAGTCTATATTGTCTCATGCCACTTTCAGAATTTTCCCCACAGCCTCAGAGGTAGACCAATTGTGCGTTTATTTTTAGTAAAGAGAAGCACAGTGACACAATAACTTATTAAGTACAAGGGATACAGCAAGACAGACAGACAGACAGACAGGCAGACAGACAGGCAGACGGAGAGACAGACGGACGGAGAGACAGACGGGCAGACAGACAGACAGACAGAAACAAAAGAGGGAAAGAAAACAAATCAGCCCTACCAGTAGCATCCTGTAGCCACAGGTGACAAACCATAGAAAAAAAGAAGAGAGCTGGACATACGGAATGACAAAGAACAAGCACTGACATAAGAAAGAAGAGAGCTGGACATACGAAATGACAAAGAACAAGCACTGACATAAGAAAGAAGAGAGCTGGACATACGAAATGACAAAGAACAAGCACTGACATAAGAAAGAAGAGAGCTGGACATACGAAATAACAAAGAACAAGCACTGACATAAGACGCCGGCCATTAGTACCTCAGACAGGTTGTGGTACATGGGTGGCACCTAATCAGTGGAAGTGTTGAGCCCCTTGTTAGTGGGACAATTTTATACCTCAACTTTGGCTGCTTGGGGTAGGTGAAGGCCATGATGTGGATTATGAGCATATGTGAGGCAGTGTGGTGAAATCAGGTGCTCGTCAAAATAACGAAATCGGAGAAACAGGCATTTTTCTATCAGTTTAGACATTTTTTATCGAATTTTTATTTTTTGGCTTAACCTCCTTTATGACTATAGAAAAACACATTTCTATGTGAATTTTACTGAAAACCACTGATTAAAGGCTCAAAATATGTCATTTTTCAGTTTTCAAAGACTCTTTAGTATTGGAGTTATCCAACTCTGGCAGTCATTTTCTCGCTTATTTCACCACTGAAACCAGGCGACCTCAGTTCCTTCAACCGCAAATACCATGAGTTCCATTCAAGATAAAAGATATTTATTTAATTGGAATCAATGCAAATAAATCAGCTTTCAGATGATATCAATAACTTCACATACCCTAAAATTGACAAGCGTCTGAAACCACCGCGTTGTGACACATATGGTACAGGAAATAAATAATGGACAGGAGAATCAGGCACAAGACAATTATCTATACCACTGAAAACTAGCTGCCTACAGACAGAAAGAGTAGGTATATACATATTATATAATAATATAACTTTGAGGTTCAGTTGTGGTGATTAGCGAGTCATTTTGACACTGCTTATATTTCACTTGAAGAAGACAAGGATAAAAGTAAGACTGAAGAGAAGAATATAAAGCAGATGAAATAAGAGTACCCATGCTGTCATACTATAATATTTTGTCTTTTTTCGGCTGTGAAGGGGGGGGGGGGAGAAAAACCCCGCTGCTAAAGGTAAAAGTTCCATGTCCAAATTATAGAACTATCATATTACATCTATTGAAATAATATATATATATAACCTGAGGCAATACATTCAACATAATCCTTATCCCCATGTTAAACGAGTGAAATGTGGAAGGTAGACTGAGAGATACAAGTCTCTCCAAGGATCTTCCGAAACAAAATTGCTCAAACATTCACACTCAAACAAATTTTTTTAAATGCTCAAACATTTTAAAACAGTGATTTTTTTCACTCCTACAAATTTAGCTAGCAAAAACTTTCCACAATTGACATAAGAAATATGACTTCCCAGAGGTCAAATGCATGCTGCAAATCAGAATGCGGCAAACACAGAGCAGCCAGAAGAAATAACACACACAAGACACAAAGTTGAAGTTTCAAATGAAACACAGACAAGACTGGCACATTGTAGCTGAGTGCAGTACAAAGTTCAGAAGAAACCTCAACATTCAGTGCTGTTTCAAAATCTCAAAATCTATCTCATACTTTCAAATATCTCAAAATGTATTTTTGTACTTCGATGATTGAAAGACAAGAAGAAAAAAAACCCAACAAAAACCTAACAAAACTTTTGATAAAACTATGCTAAAACTTCCGACACATATTTTTTTTTCAAAGGAAAAAAAATGAATTATGGTAACCTAGTAAATGAGAAAGTTGTCAAAAATGTCTGACTGTTTGAAGGTTAGTATATTGATTAGCCGAGTATTGAAGAAAAAAAGCCTTTCATTGTGGTTTATAAAAAGAACATTCGGATACACTCAGCTTAAAAGACCAACCCTCAGAGTTCTGGTATGTTAATGTGGGTTTGCTGAAGCATAATGATCAGAATTCATTGTTACACAAACACATTTCTCCCAATGCTTTTGGTAAAATATTTATGAAACAAGAACAGAATAGACTGCAGCACTTCTATATACGATATTTCTGTATATTACATTACAATCGGTTGAAAGACTTAAACAGTAGATTTGAATTAATATTATTCTCAATTAAAGACAAACATTAACAATTAATCAACTCAATACAGGGAAACAATGTGAAAATTTAAACCTTGCACAAAACTAAGAATACTCTGTCTACCTACTTAACCAAAAGGTTGATGAACTTACAGGAGAGGAAGCTTTAGTGGAAAAATTGAGGTGCTTATACAAGACCACGCCCACATCCTTGTGGCCAGCCTCCATGGCTATGGTCAGGGCAGTGCTATTCTCCTAAAGGGAACAGAACCAAAAGGGCATGAAATAAAGGCGAAATGGGAGTTCATAATACACAAAAAAGTAAGCAAAAATAACATAAGGATACACTACTTTTTGCCTCCGCCCTCTCTCTCTCTCGAAAAAATTATAAAAAATTAAAAACAAAAACAAATAAGAATGAACAGTTTAAAAATAATGCATAAATCAAGACTTGTGGGCACTAAAGTATGACATGAAACACCTGCAAAAATAAAGATTAAAGCGAAACAGATCTATGAGGGCAAGAGGAGTGAAGAGAAACACAACAACAACAGTAACAACAACAAAAGATAACAAGCATGACAGGAGAAAACAGGACAGCAGAGTCGGATTGGCGTATACTTTGCAAACTTCTTCACAAAAAATTACAGACAATGTAACAGTGATGGACAGGTGTGTGTGTGGGAAGGGGGGGGGGGGAGATGAGAAGGGAGGGGGTGAGGAAAGAGCAACATAACATATATCCAATGTACATACATTACAATAAACAAGCATATGACAACCTTATTTCACGACAAAACAATAGAAAACATTTAAAAGTTTTCATGTACTTCTAAAAGAAAATTTTCCACCATGCACATAAAAAGCTCAAACATTCCAAGTTAAACAAATTTATTTTTCTTTTCTTTCACCAAAATAGTATTTCAACTATAATCTGTTGATAAAAAACTATCCATCAGTGCCACAAGACAAAAAAACAAAAACGTATGAGAAGGCAAATGCATACTACAACCAGAGAGTGAACACAAAACATCTAAAAGAGACAGCCCATCAATAACACACAAATGTAGTGCCAAGCTACAGAACATGCCCACACGACCAGGACAGATGAACATGACGTGGACACCAACATCACACTGCCCATTCAACTCACTTTTCTCCCAGACAGACTACACACAAAATAAAGAGGTAAAGCATTTTTTTAGTTTTAGTAAGAGTTTTACGGCACTTGCAACACAATAAGGTCATATAAGTTCCGAAGAATAGAGGTGTTACAATAGAGTACCAAACACAAAAAAGAAGGAGGGGAGATAAAGACAATACATGTAGATGTTTGATAGGAAGGGGAAGCAAACCACAAAAGAGGCAAAATATTGTTCAAAAACAAAGGAGACAATGAGAGAAGTTCATAAAAGCATTGAGCACTGAAACTGAAACATTTCACTTCCATGATGAAATTTAGAAAGGAATTTCAAATAATATTTTCACGAGTCCGTCAGACTTCAAGAAAGCTGACCAGAGGGCCCTTCACTGTCGCACAGAGTTGAAGTACAGCAGATGAAGATATGAAGCAGATTTAGAAATTTAGCATAACAACTCCTTGATTATGTAAAGAAATAATAGCTCTTTTAACAAATAACGAATGAGAAATTAGTAATTAAGCCCATCAATTGTAAACTTTAAACACCCACTCAACAACCCATGATTATGTTGAGAAATAATATAGCTCTCTTAATTAACGAATAACTGAATGAGAAATAAGTAATTTAGCTGATCAATTTTAAACAACATACCCAAGAAAAAAACCAACCATATCAGAGATCATAAGCTGCTAAGATCCTCCTTGTTGAGGTCATTCAGTGGTAAAAGAAATACAGCATCCAAGGTGGAAGATTGAATCCTCGATAAAATAGAAAAAGAGACTTCCTCACGCTAGTACAGAACAGACCCTGATGCTTCACTTAAGCACAATTAAGACAAATAAATAATGGTACAAATTAAATATAAACTAAATAAAACATCCACGTAAGGCAAAATGAATAAATAAATTAGGAATAAAACAATAATTATAAGGAAAAGAAAAATATACAATAAAAAGATTGAAATATGAGTGAACACAAAATAGTAAAAAAACAAAAACCAATAAATAAAAAAGGAACTAAATTAATCTAACAAAACGAACAAATACGATAATTGACAACTTTCTTCATACATAAACTAAGAAATGGGTCAGACAGCAACGAGCAAAGACTTACGTTGTCCATGAGGTTGGCATCGATGTTGGGCTGAGACAGCAGGTAGCTGACAATGTCCATGTGGCCGTGCTCGCAGGCACACATGAGGGCTGTGGAGCCATCCACGTCCTGGAGGTTCACGTCTGCCCCCTCCTCTGTCAGCAGACGGACCGTCTCCGCACGACCGTGGCTCGCCGCCAGCATCAGAGCCGTCTGCATGGTCTGTAATAGGGAGCAGTGTGGGTTTGTTTGAGTTAAAGAAAAGCGATCTCTGCACGGTCTGTAATAAGCAGTGTGAGTTTGAGGACAGATAAGAGATATCTGCATGGTCTCTAATAAACAGTAGGAGTTTGTTTGAGGAAAGAGACAAGATCTCTGCATGGGCTGTAATAAGCAGTGTGAGTTTGAGGACAGATAAGAGATATCTGCACGGTCTCTAATAAACAGTAGGCGTTTGTTTGAGGAAAGAGACAAGATCTCTGCATGGGCTGTAAAAGGGAGTAGTAGGAGTTTGAAGAAAGATAAGAGATCTCTACATGGTCGGCAATAAGGAGTGTGAGTTTGACGAAAGAGAAGCTTTAGTTTTTAGTTTTAGTAACAGTTTTACAGAACCCTGCAACACAATTAGGTCATGCTGGGGTAATAATATAGTGTAGAGGGCAAATAGCTTGCTGTCGAGCGGGGATATGTACTATGCAAATGCTATATTTATTATTATTAACTCTTTAAGCCCTGAGTTTTTTCCACCGTTTCCCAGAGTTTTTTTCTACAGTCACCTAAACCTGGTGCACTATGTCTCATTAAAACCCCAAAAGCTTGCCTCCAACTTCTAAATAACGGTAATAAAGGCTTAGTCATGACTAAAAAATTTGGTTCGGGAATAGTTCCGAAAAACAAGTAAAAACTAGAACTAAATAAAATGAAACAGTTGTCACTAGCACTGGGCCCTCTCAGTGTCCGATGGGGAACAGGGTTATAACTGCCGGCGCTCTCAGCGTCCGATGGGGTTCAAAGAGTTAAGTCTCAAGGTTAACTCACTGCCGTGGCCCTGGCGTTGATGTCTCCGGAGGAGAAGAGTCTGCGGACAATCTCTCGCTGGCCCATGTTCTGTAGCGTGGCCAGGCCGGCCAGCATGATGGGTGTGTAGCCCGCCTTGTTCTGTCGGTTGATGTCACACACCTCCGAGTCCAGGAGCAGGTTGGCGATTTCAAAGTTACAGTGGGAGATGCAGTAGTGGATGGCTGTGTTACCCTAGAAGTAACAGGGAAAGGAGAAGTAACATTTTTGCTTGTCAGCTTTAGAAGGAGTTTTAACACTGAGCCATCACAAGGCTCACATAGTAAAAACCCTTGCCATCAAAGGAAAAGGCATTTTGGGAAAAATACAAAGAAACTGGGCGGTAAACATCGCCGATCGGCAAGATGTGGTGGCAAAGTGTTAAGACAATTGCAACATAAATAGGTAATATAACGTGACCTCAGGGCTTTCTTCTCATATCTCCATGCTTTTTAACAGCAATAATGGGACTTCTTCTTAAGCTCACTCCTTGTTATGAACTGTTTTCCCGGTTATTAAAAATGGAGACACGACAAGAAAGCACTGAGGTCGCGATAAGTGCCGAAGATTAGAGATGTTACTGAAGCATAACATATACACTGAAAAGACGGAGGACAGGCAAAGACGACAGTTGTTTGATAGGAAAGAAGGAGCAAACAGCAACAGAGCACCCACTAACCACCCACAGGAAGAGTAAACAAAATATTATTTACTTGATTTGTCAAAGCGTTTGATTCAAATGACGAATTTTGCAATTTTAGTGATCAGAGATTCTTTCACGGTCATTTAGAAATGGGAAAAAGTAAAACGGACAGAAACAACAAATGGAAAGTAAAAAAAGTAGGAAGTACCAGTGGCGCCCTCCAACCACTCACACAGATTGGGGGGGGGGGGAGAAAGAAAAAGAGACAAACTAAGTCAAAGCACACCAAAAGGATGGTATTCCTGGCTGGTTGTTGAACACTGACAAACTTTTACTTTGTAGACACAGATACTTCCATCACATGTGCTGTGTGGCATCAGTAGCCTAGTGGTGAGGCTACCGAGCTCGTAATCTTGAGATTGTGGGTTCAGGGGTTCGAGCCTCAGCTCAGTCCGACATTGCATCCTTGGGAAAGGAACTTTACACGAATTTCTCATTTGGCTCAGTCCTTTCTGAGATGGATGTTATACTCAGAGGTCCAACCTCTTCAATAACCTAATAGTTTTGATAGGGGGCATTAAACCTATACAATTTCACCATTTTTTCACATGCGCTGTAGAGCAGTAGTAACACAGATAATTATACAACACTTCTTCTTCTTCTTCTTCTATCTCGTGGTTGGGGCAACCGTGGGGGCACCACTGCATCTGACAACTAGCTCTTGCCATTTCTCTCTGTCCCACTGGGCGGATGAGCAGCATTAAGCAGCCAATGGCCAAGAGCGGAAGGGTCCCATGACGGACTCAACGGTCAGAGCGGAAGGGTTCCAAGTAGTTTTAAAGTTTCAGTAGAGGTTTTACGGCGCTCGCAACTGCACAAGGTCATATGAGCGCCAGAAGAATAGAGGTGTTACAAGAGAGTAACAAACATAAAAAAGAAGAAGAGGAGATAAGGACAATAGATGTTTGATTGGAAAGAAGAAGTAAACCACACGAGAGCACCCGCCAACCACCCATGTTCCAAGTTGAACTCAACGGTCAAGTGCATGTGATCGGGGGCGATCCACAACACATTCGTGGACATCGGCCTACGGTTAAGAGCTCGGAGAGGGATGGGCACTGCCAAGATTCTCTGCCCAAGACACACCACATGAAATGACAAACAGCTCAGAATTATACCACACAGCAAACAGCAAACAGTTCACACATACACAAAAGTGGCACCCGCACTCACATTAGCGTCCGTCATGTTGACGATGTATTCCAGCAGACGTTTGGAAATCTCGTTGACGGAGGAGAGGAAATCTTCCACCTGGTGAGGCGTGGACAGCTTGTGGCTCGACACCTGGAACCACTCCTGCTGGATCACATTCAGGCTGGCGTTCTGCGGGAGGTATATTTTAGTTTTAGTAAGTGTTTTACGACGCTCGCAACACGGTAAGGTCATATAAGTGCCGAAGATTCGAGTTTTACTTTTAGTAGAGGTTTTACGGTGCTCGTAACTGCATACGGTCATATGAGCGCCAGAAGATTAGAGGTGTTACAAGAGATTAACAAAAACAAAAAAGAAGGATGGGAGATAAGGACAATAGATGTTTGATAGGAGTAAACCACACCAGAGCACCCGCCAACCTCCCAGGCAGGTGGTATATGTACAGATAACATCAACTTCACAATATATGTGAGACACTAGTGAAATCAGGCGCTCGTCGAAATACATATGTACTGAAATCAAAGAAACCGGCATTTTTCTGCTGGCTAAGCCATTTTTATTTTTTAAATTTCATTTTTGACTCAACATCTTTAATGTCCATTTAACAACATAATTTCATGTGAATTTTACCAAAAAACGTTGATTGAAGAAAAAATAACTGTAAAGTTTCAGTTTTCAAGAACTCTAAAGCTATGGAAGTTACCAAACTTTGGCAGCCATTTCAATCGCAAATATGTCAACTTCTATTCAAGATAAAAGGATATTTTTTTCATTCAAAGCAAGGCAAATGAACAGGCTTTAACCCTATCCGTACGCCCCAGGGTCATTTTGTACCCCCGGGGTTGTATTCTTCACATTTTAGAATACTTCTAGTGCGAAGATCTCATTGAAACTTTCAGTATTTTTCAAAAAATCATTTTGACAGACTGCTATGCAAAGCGTACGGATGGGATTAACTAGTAACTTTCCTCTGTGGAAAGTGGTGGCACAGAGTTACCCACGTCGTAGGGAAACATTAGTAAAACATGATGTACGGATAGGGTCAAGATGACACCAATGACTCTATATGCCCAAAAGTTGACAAGCCCCTGATTCCACCCCGCAATGTGTAGGACAGCCAGTCATTGTTGAGGAGAAAAGTTGTTGTGTTAGACCGGGGGATGCCTTCGACAGTGTCATTATAAAAGTTTTTTAACCCTATCCGCACGCCCTGGGGTCATTTTGTACTCTCCAGATTGTATTCTTCACGTTTTAGAATACTACTAGTCGAAGATCTCTTTGAAACTTTCAGTATTTATCATTTTGACAGACTGCTATGCAAAGCATACGTATCGGACTAACGAGTAAATTTCCTCTTTGGAAAGTGATGGCACAGAGCTCCCCATGTCGTATGGATACGATAGTAAAACACGACGTACGGATAGGGTTAAAAATGCAAGGGGTGAGAATCAAACCAATCAAGCTTTTGTAAGTCAGCTCCAGAAATATTTATCAGAAAATGTATTCTTTTAGTAGTAGCAGAACACGTCAGTTACTGTGCAGTAATACAGTAGTTTACATTTTACACAACTTTGTTTTAGTTTTTGTTTTAGTAAGTGTTTTACGGCACTTGCAACACAATAAGGTCATAAAAAAGCCGAAAATTAGAGGTGTTACAAAAGAGTAACAAACACAAAAAAGAAGCAGGGGAGATAAAGACAATAGATGTTTGATAGGAAAGAAGGAGCAAACCACACCAGAGCACCCGCCAACCGCCCATTTACACTACTTTGAATCCTATAATAACCAACATGTGAGGAAAAAGAGCCAAATGTGGACTCACCAGCTGCTTGGTCTGAATGGTGGTGGAGTCCATCAGATAGGTGGCTAGGATCTTGCAAGCCTCTCTCACCTCCCCGGACAACTCATACCTGCACAGGCCGGATACATTGAAGCACAATAACACAAAAACTTATGACAATAACAAACTTTGTTTATCATAGAACCAAAAAAAACAAAAAAACAATTATATTGTAAAACAAAACTAAATGCAGTAAGAGAATGTGTCTTTCTTGAATTTTGTATCATCTCCACCATTTATCTCCCTGACTAACTCACTGCCAACCCAACATTTTTCTCACTGCCATCCCCTAGGTACTCGCCATTTTAATGTTAACTTTAAAAAAAACCCAACAAAACCTCCAACACTTTGACACAGCTGACAGACTGACATAGAGTCAGGAATATAGCTGGGACAATAACGCAATGCATGATTAGAAACAATTTAGAACTTGGAAATAGCAGCAGGGGCTGCAGCAGAATATTGTAGGCAGTTAGTTGAAACAGAACTTTGACCACAGTTTACTGATTGCCCAGTGTAATACTCTAAAAATAGTGAAATGGTATAGGTTTAGCACCCCTATAAATACAATTGGAATTATTTGAGAGGGGGGATGGGATCTCTGAGTTTTGTAAGACTGTCATACGTCACTTTCCAAAATGGTGTATTGCGGAGGCTTCCACGAAGAAGTCGTTATGCGGCATGTGTGGACAGTGACTTAAGAAGTGTGCTTTAGCTAGCTTCAATGAGGCTCGGTTGTTGTTTAGTTTTAGTAAGTGTTTTACAGCACTTGCAACACAATAAGGTTATATAAGTGCCGAAGATGAGAGGTGTGTGAGGGATTAAAGTAGTCAACAATACCCTCATCCCCATAAGAGGAAGTTAATCTTACTGAATACACCAAAACTGGCATTAAAGTCTTTATCATTATGAACCTTTAGAAAGTTGGAAGATCAGATTGGCAGGGTTCAAGCAACCTGCCTCTTTAAAGATCTAAAATGTACAGAACGAGAGTAAAAAAACATTTACAACCAAAACAGCAGCCCTGTGTTTGTTCAAATTCTAGAGAAAGCTTAAAAACTTAAGTTTTAAAGACAGCTAAAAATTAAAAACTCCAATCAAAAGTCAAGAGCAAAAGACAAGAGAAAGCTTAAAAACCCAACTTCTAAAGAAAGCTTTAAAACTCAAACCAAAAGTCGACAGACGTAAGAACACTAAAAAACTTAAAACCAAACTTTTAAAGAAAGCTTAAAGGTAAAAAAAAAAATTCAAAGGAAAGCTTTACAAAACCCAACTTCTGAGGAAAGAGTAAAAACCCAACCAATTTCTAAAGAAAGCGTAAAAACAAAACTTCTAAAAAAAACACCCAAAATCTCAAATAGTAGTTGTCCAGAAGACATCAGTGAAACACTCACGTCTCTCGGATGTTCTGGTCAAACATCTGGGCCCCGGGCAGTCCCTGAGCAATGGCCTCGTCGTCCTGACAACGGTACACCACCGCCCCCTGGTGGCTGTCGTAGGAACCCTCCTCGAAACTGGCCGTGGAGTCGGAGTCATCATCCGAGCTAGACCCAGTGCTGGAGACAAAAAAACCCATTAAAACAAACAATCAAACAAACAAAACCAATTAATCAAAAAGAATGTCTGAAATTTTTGGTGTAATTGGAGACAAAAAAACAACCAAAAAACAAAGCAAAAACAAAAAAAAGAAAGTCTGAGTTTTGAGCGTTTCATGTTTTAGAAGAGGTTTTACGGCGCTCGCAACTGCACAAGGTGATATGAGCGCCAGAAGATTAGAGGTGTTGCAAGAGAGTAACAAGCATAAAAAAGAAGAAAGGGAGATAAGGGAGATAAGGACGATAGATGTTTGATAGGAAAGAAGAAGCAAACCACACCAGAGCACCCGACAACCACCAAC